ACAAGGCACATTTTCCATCTTCAACCGCTAATGAGTCATGACCATAGAAACACAGAGATATATTTCCCATTAAATATTTCTCTGATGAAAAATCACGAAATTCAAAACTTAAGCTTCTACATACCTACAGACCAAACGTTTTGAAAGTTTTGTACCATAGCCACAGAACTTCAACATACAAGCGTCTAAAACCACGCACATAATCAATCAAGTAAAACTCTCAAAATAATTTAGGTTTCATTTCAAAACCAAAAATATTTCATTTGGAAAACTGAGGGTGTATATTAATATGCCTAAAAGATCACTTAACTCTATAACCAAAACTCGATGCTGAACTATCCTTCATTTTGATATTGAAAAATATTTTCAAAATTCACTTCTTTCCTAAAACCCACGTTTCTTGAGCCCTCAAATTTGCAGCAAAAAAATTTCTTGATCATGTGATTTTTCTGTTTAATATTGGAGATTTTGATTATGTGAATGTTGAATATTTGTAATATTTGTCATGGATTCTTGAAATCTTGCTTTCTGTCAATTAGTTAAACAATTAGAGATGATTTTCTAGTGTTCTACCAATTTGTAAGAATTAGCATTTATTTTCTTATCAATTAGTATTTAATTGTCACTTGTAATTTATTTTAGTGTGAAGTGCCAATAGAGAGATTCTTTAAAAAAAAATATTTCGTAGAAAATGTTGATGAGGAGATATCGAATAAAATGAATTTTGATGTTGCACAATTTGGTACTAATCCTAGAATAAGGAAAAAGATAATCATCTCATTAGTGTTATCGCTATGTCATTTTTAGCATTGTCATAATATCATTAAAACCATAATCGAAAAGTTCGACCTTGATTAGATTTTGCGAGCATTGGACAAAATTCCTAGCTCCGACCCTGCTCTCTAATTCGTGAATAAATGAAGCATAGCAATTTCTACCACAAAGAGAACCAAACAAAACTATAACCATAGCTAGTAATTTAACAGCAAACAAATGATACTTTTTACCACCATCATCATCATTTCCTTCAGAATCTTACCCTTCTTAACTCGTATAGATTTCCCTGAATGCGAGCGTCGCACATGCCTTACAGCCACGCCACCTGCTGCAGCAGACTGCCCACCATTCGGAGCCTTGATGTTGTGGTGCTCAGACAGCACTAATGGCGTCTGACTTGGAGACCTTGGGCCAGTAGCTTTCGGTGATGAGGACAACGACAACGAAGAAATGACCTCCGCATTCTCCGTCGCTATTCTCAACATCTCCCTCTGCCCCTCCGTCAAAAACCCCTCTCTGCTCGCCATTTCTTCTCCCTAACCAAACTAAATGAACAAACAAATTCATCAAAAACTAACTATATTCAAAACATCAAATCGTTTCATTATAACGTATATTCCCATACAATGCCATTTTAACGTCTTTAGCAATTAATCCTTCAAAATATTTCCGACCCAGAAATAAAAAATAAAAATAAAATAAAAAATTTTAACATTCTAAAACTGGGAACCATTTAATTTTCTAATCAATTACCTGTATGAATCGTGAAGAGAACTGCCACTGTTCTTGGCTCGGATCTCGAGCCAAGAAAGGAAAAGCAATAAACAACAACCAATCAACAACTCCGATCTTGCTTCAAAACACGCAGAAACCCACTTCACTGTGCGTATTCCGATTGAATTAGCTTCCAAATTTAGGGATGGTTCACGAAATCTGTCTGTAATTACCTAGAAGAAACTCGAGTTTTTGTCATAGACAGGAAATGGATGAGAATGAAACGTTTATATAGGGAGGCTATGGTTATATGGGCACGTCATTACCTAAATAAGAGTATGCACGTGGCATTGCGCCTTGCGGGGGTACCCTAAGGCATGGTTTAATTTTGCCAATTAACCCCTGAACTTTAGACTAATCTTTGTTATCATCACTAATCTACCAATTAATTTTACTTCAACTAATTTACGTAAAACACTAATCTCTGTTACCATCACCTTAGTCTGGCGTCTATTTACATTGATTTATTTGTTCCAATGTTCACTGAATTTAGTTTCATATATCTTTGATTGGTCACTGAAATTTAAAATATCGAGTTTTGATCACCAAACTTATGTCCATGTCTTCGATTGCTCAATGAAATTTAAAATATCGAGTTTTGATCACTGAACTTTGAAAAATGTTGTACATTTACACACTCAAAATTCGATATTTTTCAAAGTTCAACATTTATACTAGTGAGTATCGTATAACATTTTTCAAAGTTCGGTAGTCAAAACTCGACATTTTAAATTTCGATGAGCAATCGAAGACATGGACCTAAGTTCAATAACCATTGAAACAATTAATTCATTTACATTAACATTACTGATCTTTGTTTTAACTGTATTATCAAGTTAGTGTAAAGTCTACTTACATTCTCGAACTTTATTTCGTTAATTTGGTGTCTGTTTACATTTATTCCAATTATAGTATCCCATTAATATAAAGTCTATTTTCATAATTGATCTCTGATTCGAGTATATCATCACGTTAGTTTGACATATTTAAATTGCTCAACTTTAAAATTCAATTACTTTACCTTCGTGGAAAGTTAAAAGACATGTAGGCAGCTCTATTAAAAATTGGAAAGTGCTTACCATAGCGGTGTCGGTTTATCTCCAAATAGGAAAACTTTACAATAAATTACTGAGGGTCCGTTTGGTGCACATTTTTGTTGATGAAAATGCATTTTAAACATCAAATTGCGGGTCCCCCATTAGAGTGTAGAAGTCAAAAATTGTGTGCTGATGTGACGGAAAAAATGCATTTTTGGCTTCAAAAATGCGTACCAAACAGGGGCTGACTTTCGTATCCATTACTCAACTTTGATTTATATTAATTAAATTCCTCAATTGATTGAAATTAATTACTACCATATCGTCTAACATGTGTCAAATATACTTTCTGTTGATTGTTAGTTTTGATAACACGACCTTGTGTAATGATCTAATTGACACACAAATATGAGGCGGCTAAAATGAAACACGCATATAAGTTAGGTGACCTCTAATGAAATTTTCCCATATGAAGCGTAAATGGAGCATCCATGTAAAGGAGGATCGTGGATCCGGGTTAGGATTTTTGGAGTTTTACTTGGAGATTACGTTGCTAATTATTATTAATGGAGATACTTTATTTAAGAGTTAATTATGGTATGTAATTGAGTCTAATAATGTTCATTCATTAAGGACACAATGTTCATAATTTTTTACATTACTACCATCCTCCGAAATTTATCATCTCATTTTTATCGTTGAATTTCTATTTTGTGTTTAAATCGGGTCACTGAACTAAAAGTTTTAAAATTCAACAATGTGACACCTATCGTCTACTAAATGAATGAGAAAATTACTTAATCGGCAATCAACTACAATAGATCTTCCATGTAATTTTTATCGACATGTTTCTTGTTTGTCATTTTTATTTCTACGATGTGTAGTAACAATTAGGTGGAAGATAAATTACCGTTTTAATCATGACTAAGTAATTTCTTTCAATTTGGGAGACAATACGACGGAATTCCTATCCGTACTTCAAAACTGATGTTAAAAACTAAACCATATTTGGCCTTTGGAGAAGCGAGAAATTGTAAAATTTGTCATGCAAGAAGAAATGCTTTCCCTTGCTATCGATCGCCTTTTTCCACCTGCACCATCTACCATTCACAATTTTCTTGTGGTCATCGTTCCCAGTGTAGTGAGGGTGGAGTACAAGAATTGCACAATTCTCCTTGCCTCGTCATAGTCAACCCCCCAAAGGGTATCGAAGCTCGTCCAACACAAAACTTAACTCGATGGCCCCAATCCATTGGGGTGACCCTATAAATGAAGGGTCCTTATTGCCAATCTCCACCGGAGTGCTTGCTGTATTTCCTGAAAACAATGTACAGTGATTACGTTCCCTTGAAAGCTCAAACAAAGTTACATCACCCAAAGAACATGGAAAATATTGTACATTGCTCTTCTCAAGTATGCATGGATGTTTAGAGATCAAGATGACTTCAAAGGCCCTTATTTGTCTCCCGTTTATACACTATCAAACGACTACTTATTTACATATTTCGTATGATTCATAAGTACTACTTACTTATTAACCATTCATTTCTATTTATTTATAATTTAAACCGATCGTAAACAACTCCTAAACATGCTTTAACCTAAAAACTCAATATTTACCATCAACCAATTTTTTCATTTATTTTTCTTTGTTAATACAATATATAGTATTGTTCTAACCTATGAGATGAGTCACAAGTGTAGAGGTGTGATATTCTCAACCGTGGTTGTCGATTTATTTTGACTTACTTCAACGATTCAAGAAGGATTGTGATATCTAATATTTATACAATACATTTCATATGTGAAAGAAATAATTAATTTAGATAAGTACCCAATTAGAGGAAATGTGGAATTTGTGTGGAAGGTCGAGAGTTCAGGTTCACATTCCATGCAATAATTAAAAAGCTCTTGATTAGACCTTGAGCTCTTGAGTTTCCTTAATTAAAATAATATAATATTCTTATTTATTTAATCATTTCAAAATTATTTAATGAGTCAAATTAGTGATATAATATGACATTTTTTTCAACAACCCCACCATGGTTGTATCCTGTGAGTAATTATTCGCAAAATTACAATGGTTAACAACCGAAAATTTCACTTTAAGATATCGTGTTATCACGAAATTCAATCAGTCGATAATTATTATTTTCTGCATCTTACTATTTTACAAGTTACTACAGCTAATTATTCTCCAACACGTGATTGTTAAAGTAATCATAAACCAAAAAAGTACCTCACTTGATACCACGACAGCATTCAAAATTTAAGTTTTGAAAGTTTTTTCTTTAGTTTCCAGTCTAAGGAGTCGAACTTTCTTTTTAATCTACTTGTTTTGACAAAAACTGAATTTGTCATCATTATTTTCCACTAACAAGATTTTATTTGAAAAAAAATAAAATAAAATAATTAAGCACAAAAGATTGTTAAATACTTTCTATTGATAGAATTTTTTGGCAAGGTCATAAAAATCAGCATCCCGTGCAAGTTACACCGGTACTAGAACAAAAAGTCACCATACATGTAGTCATATATAAGCAAAATAAAATAAAATATAACATTCCCATCGCAGCAATTAGATCTTCACAAGCATATTCGTCCCCGTCTAATAAACTACTGTGCAGCAGCAGCACAAGGCAACTCGCAATCCACCATATGCTCACCACGGCGTTGTCGTGTCAACTTCCATGCCTGCACAGTTACGACTAACAGTTAGTGCAAGTTTTGGTAAAGCTGTTTTCAAACCTATAAACTAGTCAAAGATCATTTTTATCGACACATTCCGTAAGACCCACAACTTTTATCCATTTCTACCCACACATTCCCTAATACCCATAACTTATAATTTACAAAAAATCTGGAACAAATGTACACGGTTTCTTCCCAAGAGTGATTACCGAAATATCACAGAAAAGAAATGGATATGATGCGATATTCTTAGCCGCAGTTTCCCTATTATACCAAATAAAAGAGTTCCAAGTTAACTGAAATTACCTTCCGAAAAGGAAACATAGCCGTTCTCCAACAACGCAGCT